CAGCATCTTTACGTGCACCCAGGACCACAGCAATTTGAGCTGAGGATATGTAGCCCTGGGCTAGCTGGGGATGGTGGCAGAGGGGCTGGCTGGGGCATGAGAGGGCTACAGTGCGGGGCTAGGTGGGAGGCAGCTCCTGTACTGTAGCACCCTTGTGCCCCAGCCAGCTTCGGTCACAGTCTACATATGTGTTTGAGCACGTGCAATTACTCCGCTGTAGGATAGTGCTTGTTCCAGACAGATCTATCCTATAGCAGAGTTGATTAATTTACCATGCCCTAATACAGACACACGTGTAGACTGGGATGCTTTATTGCAGAACTAATTAGTCAGCTGCAGTAAAGCACATGTATAGGTGCACCATCTTTCTGCTTAATTTCTCCAAAAGAATGCATTTTAGGTACGAGCTTAATTATGGATGGAAGGCACAAGGAAACTGTTGTGAAATCTTGGCTTTCTAGAAATGTAGACTGGGAGGTGATGGGACCAAGTAGTCATGATTAGGTCTGGTTTTGATCTTAGCTTTGTCATAGACTCGTAAAGGTCACTTGGTAAAAGGGAGGGATGAGAGTGTGTCATATAAATCACGCCTGAAATTGTCTGTGGGTCTCAAAGTAGATTTGGAAATGGTTCTAAAATTTTGCAGCCGTAAAAGGAAAATATGGATGTTTACCTGTATATTGGGGGTAGGGAGGAAAGATGTAAATATGTATGTAAATAGATTGTTATTTCCTAAAGATACAATCTGCAGATAAAAATTGTTCCTGGTAAGAGAAGGGTCCGGCCTGTCTCCCACTATTCACCAAGGCTGCTGCTCTTATAACCGTTTTGCTACAGAGAACTTTTACTTTCTCTGTGTGTGCACTGCAAATAGCTATAGATGAGGGGATAGATTGAAAAACTTCAGATAGGCTCCTGGAGCCTTGTAGAAAAAAGTAGATAGATACTTGTGAAGATTTCTAAACTCCGAGACCAGATGTGCGTTAAGGCGTTCCATCAGCATAAAGCTGTCATGTAGTCTGAAAACGTTGTAAAATGCCCTTGTGAAGATATAGACACAACAGCAAAAAATGTGCTTTTGCCGGTGTAGCTGAATTCAGTCGGATAACTGAAATAAGCTGTGTTGGCAAAACACTTGTAACTGTTCTCCCTTGCCACTGGGGCCATATCCTGGAATAGTCCCATTAGAAAATCCTTTTTACTAAAAATCAAGCCGTAGTGAAAATCTTTCTCAGTTCTTTGGGTGAATGCATTGTGAGGTCCATTATCTCCCAGGCAGATGGTTCTCTTCCTTTCATCTAGGTCAGCGCTTCTCAACTAGGTGCCACGGCACTTGAGGTGTGCAAACATGATTCACCAGATAAATCCAGGGATTTCAAATAGGAATCCATGGTGTTAAAAGCTTTCTGAGCTGTTGTGGTCTTTCTGAGGTTTTTGTAACAGAATTGCTCTATTATTGCTCTGCATTAAAATAAAAATAGTGAAAGCTCAGACCTGGTATTTTCTGAGGCCTGCAAAGGTTGAGAACCGCTGATCTGGTTGATCAGATTGCAACTGATAATGGGATGTCATATTAGAGTACCATTTCAAACTTATAAATATCCTATAAATCATTTATAGCTTGGTTGTTTTGCAGTGGTTAATATTGCAGTTCTTCTAATACACAAAGCCTTAAAGTTGACTTTTGTTTCTGTGTGTAATAAGGCCTCTAAGGTACCACTCTGGTCCTTGGAGAAATTTAGTAAAATCATTCTAGATGTAATCAGTGGAAAGGGTCTCCTGTGGGTTTGAACCCACTTAACTATGAGAGAGCACTTTAATTCTGCACACTCAAATAAGCCCACAAATGCTTTATTTTTAACAGTTTTCCCAATTTGGAAAGAAAGCTAAGTGAACACTTTGCTCCATTTCTACAGGACACTGAAGTAATCTTGAACAGGTGTTGAACTTAAGACTAAAGATAGAGAACCAAGCATTAGTTCCTCTTTTTAATGTTCTGTAAATAGGCACATGTGACAGTCCAGCTATTGTCTTGTGCGAGTAGGGGGGATAGGGACCACGACAGGTGTGTATGCCTGCTAAATCCTTCATTGTTAGAGCATTAGTGTAGTTGGTTTAATGGTAAATATTCAGTACAGGTGGCCATAAATGCTCACTTGTGAGCACCTGCCTTAGTGCTTTGTATCATCCCTTTGCAGGGAACTTGGAAAAATGTAACTTTCTCTAAAGATTACATTTCAACTGGTCCAATCTGGGGAGAGATTTTGATATTGCACTTCATTTATTTGGCTTGCTTACTACGTAGTATAATTTAAATATTTATACCAGTGAAAAAAGAACATGAGTGCTAAGGGTAAACTTGCTCTGACTTTTGATTTGTGGATGGAGCTGAATATTTATTGTGATTCACAGATCACAATAAATCTCTGGTCAAAAGAATTAACTTCCAAATGCCACAACTTCGGCATTTAGTCTGAGAACAAAAGATAGAAATATCTGTGGTATCAAAATAGGACTGTTGTTGGTTTAAGAAACCCAGCAAAAAGCACAAATGTTGGCAAGAAGTTTATAAAAGGGCATATTTACGAAGTAATTTTGAGCTTTGAGCAAATATTTGCATCCATTATGAAAGTGCATGCATGGCTCTTTCCTTCTGGGTGCCTTTTGAGAGCCTTTGAGACACTCAGTCATTCAGAATATGGCTTTAAATAGTGGTCCACTTCAAAAGTGTAGAAAATTGGGACTTTGGGGAGAGCATGAGAGATTGTTTTCATGGGTGTGCGGGCACTGCTGGTTGCTGGTACAATATGGTTTTGCACTTCTTTGGTATGACTCTTTGCTTTGAACACTAAGCAATCCTAATGATATGGTGTTGATTTTAACTGTGTGTGTGGTTTAAAAAAATGTTAGAACGATACACCAGATAGTTGCATAGGGGTTGTCCATGTCTGTATGTTCACATTATTCATGATTTTTAAGTATTTCTAGTTTTCTGTGTTGGCAAGTTTTTTTCTCTTCTTAAATTTGCTAAAGCTTCCATTTGGGAGACCTCTAAACTTCTGCATGCCTATGTAAGGAAGATTCCCCTGTTTCCTGGTAGTCCCAGAAAATTCCCAAATAAAAGATACAGCCGGGGCAACAAGTTGCAGTCTTATCTTTACTGTTTGCTTGCCCTTGAAGCTTTTGTGATCTAAATACTGCCTTAAGCAGCACTATCTATTTTTAGGGTGTTATAGACAGAAAGTGGCACAGAGCCTTAAAGGAAAACCCTAAGCATGCATCACTTGGACCAAAAAACAGGAGCCCCTTAGAAGAATAGAAACAGCAATATCCCAGTTGTCCTAGTTCCAAAAGGTTCATTTCTAACAGTTGCATATAATGAGAGAGAACTGCTGTGGCTGTAGAGAAGAGGATACATATTAAAATCAGAGTTGTATATGGATCAGGGTTTCTTTTTGCCCTTCCTTGGAGCTGCTGCCCCTGTATATGTTAATAAAAAAGAAATATTTACTTGTTGTTTGAACAATCCAAGGGAACAGTGAGAGTCTGATTCTGAATGCAAAGGCTACTAAATGTGAAGAGCCGTATATACATGGGGATTTACTTCTCTTTAATTAGATGGGTGCATGCGCACACATTTGTTTAATGTAGAGGTTCTCAAACCATGGTCTGTGGACCACCGCTGGTCCACAAGCTCCATTCAGGTGGTCCGCAGAAAGGTTGTGGAACAATTGAGAATAGCTGTACTTGGAAGGTAAGACTACTGATATTAAAATATGAGTTGGGTGCTTGGATTTGTAGAACAAAAAAATGTTTAAGTCATGCGCCAAGACCCTCAGCAATTTTCAAGTGGTCCGTGAAAAAAACAGTTTGAGAACTACTGGTTTAATGCATTTTCTCTTGACCTCAGTTTTCAGTTGTATCTTTAAAGAATCTATGTCAAGAAATTTTAAACGTGGCTTGCTGTTTTTAATGCTACTAGGTTGAAGGCATACCTTCTTGCTTAGGCACCATTTTGGGATAATTGTTGACCTTTTTTCCTCATTTATTTCAACAGGTTCATGAACCACCCAGCTCCAGCAAATAGCCGCTACAAACCTACTTGCTATGAACATGCTGCTAACTGCTACACACATGCAGTAAGTGAATTTAATCATCTTTCCAGTTTGCTTCAGTTAATCTATTCTGTTGTCTTTTCCCTTTGCATAATATAAATATATGATTGCAGCTTTTAACATAAATGGAATGATCTGAAAGCTTGGATGAGAATGTAATAGTTAATAAGAGGCCGGTGAGATGGTTTTAGATCTGTAAATCTAAAAAGGTGCAAGTATCAACCCTAAAATGCATGTAGCTCAATTGCATGTACAAGGGCTCAAAAGGTCACTTAGAAAAAACAAGTACACATTAAATCAGGGGTGAGCAAAATATGGCCCGTGGGCCGAATCCATCCTGCAAGACCATTCTATCTGGCTTGCGGGGCCCCTAAAAAATTGTAGAAAATTAATATTTCT